CTTCCCATTATAAGCTCCATGAGCTTTTGCACAGCTGTCTGCATAGGATGGTCTTGTCAAGCAGTCCAGCTCCCCAGAGCCAGCATCAGCATCAGGCAGGTGACAAAAGGCCAAGACCAGAATTCAAAGAAAGCAGCATGGCAAAGAAATTCTCCTGCTTTCACTCCAAGCACTAGGGAACTGGTTAATTCCATGGAAATCCTTCTTCTCTGCCAACACCTTGTTATGCTGCATTTTGAAAAAATGTGCCTAAGTTGTCCTGATGATCAATTAGCTTTATTTCTTAATGCTGGAAGAGGGAACTGCATTAATGCCAACTTCTGATTTAGAGTTGTCTTTGTGTAACATCCTTCTTGCAACTCTTTCCAGACTAGAGAGAACATGCGTATAGAGTGAAATACTAAAACCGGTACTGGAATGGGAAGCTGGCTTCAATCTGACCTGGTAGAACAGAATGCATCTAGCAGATGTAGTATGTTATGAATGTTTTAGAAACTAAGGAAAAAGTATTTCTACAGTGGTTGGCTGTAAAGTGGTAAGCTATCAATAAGATAAAAAGTTATAGGAGGTTGTCCATGTAGATGGAGCTGCTGAGGAGAAGATTCTTGTGCTTCTGTGGGAATATTGTGGGAACATGTACAGGGCTAATTGTAAAGGAGTTGATGCTTGAAAGAAGCAAGGCTTTCTATGGCTGACTGGCATAAAGAATACAGGGATTAAAAAGTGCAAAGGATGAGGCTCTGTTGTTTCCAGGATCCAGCGGAAGAAGTGGATTGGTCCTGCTGTGAAAACAAGTAGTAGAGTTCTGCATGAGCTGCACTTTGTGGACAGCAACACTTTCCTAAAACTCATTTTTTGTTTCCCTCTTTCCCCCCCAAACAGAATATAATTTAATCTTGACTCTAAAGAAGTGAAATTTCCCGCTTGTGGAATGTTATTATTTGTTCAGCCCTAGAGAGTTAGTTGGATTTAACATAATATTATATAGATAGAAATGACCAGGTAGAGACTAATGATGGACCTTACCTGAATGTTAAAGGTGCACTAAGGTAAACTCAGAATATCCACTGTATTTTCAGAGCTGTATGGTTTTGATGTGCTTATTGATGACACTCTCAAGCCCTGGCTGTTGGAAGTAAACCTATCCCCATCATTGGCCTGGTAAGTGATTCACAGTTTAATATGAGGTTGGGACTGTTGCTAGTGATGGTTGTCCCTGAAACTTGTGGTCCTTGGAGGGCCTAGGATTTCATGATGCCTGCAGAGTATTTGTTCCACTGCTGATTGACAGGGAAGATAGTCCTTTGCTTTTCCCTGTGCATAAATAAACTTATTGCAGCAATAAGTTTTGAAAGAACCCAGTTGGGATTCCATTTTCCTTTCAATTCTTTCTTTTCCACAGTCCATCATCATTGTTAACACTTTGTAATCTCCCATCCAGACTATTGTGTGTGATTTCGATCTGCTATGCTGAGTAGAAAGTAAAATTTTGGAGTCTAAGTAGAGTTCAGGCATTATGCTTGACTTGAGTTTGTAGATATATGTTTGAGCTCATATTTTTTGTCTACTTCTCTCTTTAGCTAAAATCTGAAGAGTGAGTGTTGTCTTGGCCCTTATGCTGACACTCATACTCCAATGAAACTTGAGGATTTTGGGGTGGTTTTTTTTAGATCTCCAACTGTGTGTGTTTCCTGGACTACTGTTTAGCTTTACAGGAACACAGATGCACAATACACTTTTTTAATAGTGTGAGTCATATTTTGGTTAGGATGGTATAAATAAGCTTTAAGTTAAATGTTCCTGGAATAGCCATATCTGACCTTCCTGTAGGCATTTTTTTTTATTCTCCCCCTGCCTTATCCTCCATAGGGTCTTTTTTTTTTTTCTTCCCCTTTCCTCTCCCCCTCCACCCCACTGTTCATAACCCTACCTTCCACAGTACCTGTTTTGTTTTCAGGTGCATCTAGAATGTTATCACGACATTTTTTTTCCTGGTTTGGTTGTTTGTGCTTACATACAGAAACACTAAATTATTTGCATCCTTTACTATTTAAAACTCTAACTCACATCTGCATCCTTTGTTCTGCTTTATGATTGCCATTTTCTTTGTCCAAGCTTGGCATTTTTCTTTGTTGGCATCTATTATTGTGCTGCAGAACATGGCTGATTTCTCTGCTTCTGAGGAATCAGGCTTTGCCTGTCCGATCTGAACTGTATTGTGGAATAATTACTGAACATGATTTAGAACATCTCTTAACACAACATGTATTCATCGATTTTTCCACTGGATATAATTATGGATGCAGCCTATCTGTACCCGCTGTCTGATCTCTTCATATCTACCACCTTCCCTAATAATTTTTTCCCATCTATTAGAACTAACCTGGCTGATTTTATGATTCTATGTGGAAGAGGCATGGGTAATTGTGGTTTTTAATAATTCTGTGACAGCAGCTTCTATCTGCTCCATGAAATGTCGTATAGATTCATTCAAAGAAAATGCTTCTAGCCAAGCAGAGCTAAGACAAGGTGGTATGTTGCTGCATTAGAAGTCTAAAGTGCTGAAAAAGGATAAATAGAAACAGATTAATCTTTAGTTGGTGTGAAAATCACATAGTTTTCTTCCCATGTTGATTATGTCTGTGTTAAGGACCAATACAAAAAAAATTACATTGGAAGCTATCTTGGGACATTGATGCATTCCTCTCATTTAATGCCAGACAAGTAATTCCTATTGTCCTTTGTTGCATGTGGGGATAGTGATGCTCCTTTGGACCTGAAGATCAAAGCTAGCATGCTCTCAGATATGTTTACCCTTGTAGGTGAGTGTAACAAAAAGCTCCTTCCATCTTCCTATCACTAGAACCGATAAAAGATAGGTTTATGAGCTGAATGTTATTAGCATAAAATAGAGCAGAACTCTAATTAAGGAGTACAACTGTATTTAGCACTGGGAAGTTATATGTGGACATTTCTGCTTCAGAATAATCTGTCTGTTTATGATGCTTAGGTGATATATGGAGTCCCTAGTTCAATATTTGAAGATACTACTGTTTCTCTTTAGCAGGTAACTTCTGTTTAGCCTCAGAAACTGTATTAATGCTTTTTCTAGATTGAATGTGTGGGTTCTGGTTAGGCTATGTTAGAAGAGGAGTCATGATTGTGAAAGTCTACATGACTGTCTAGTGCGTAGCACCTTTCAGGCATCCCTAGTACATGTTGGTTCAATTATTTGATGCAACTTGCCCCGATACTAAAAGAGGCAGAATTGTCATAGGGTAGCCTGCTCAGCTGTTTAGGACACAGACCTCATCTCTACACTGCTATTCAGTAACCTGGTTTTGAGAGAAAGCTTCAGTGTTAATCAAAAAAGTGTGATGCAGTGTACAGTTTGGGATTAAACAAAGCAAGGTGTAAAAAGGAATAGTATTATTTTTGGTCCTTGGACAGGAAGGTCATATATATAAACTAACAGGAATGCTAGGTTTATATTTCAGGGTTTGCCTGACTTAAAGTTCTTATATGGCTCCTCTGATGCCCACAGGCTTAGTCTGCCAGGATCCAGGCCAACGCTCAAGCCGGGACAATTGTTCATCTGACTCTGTCAGGAGAAATCCGTATCAGAAGCTGCAGGTAAATGAATTCAGCTAGAGCTGAGGAGGACAGCAGGGGAAGTTATTCTCATTGAATCTGGCTTACAGGTGGGAGAAAAAATGAGTGAGTGAGGTTATGTGGGCTTCTAGCATAACTACAGAAGAGACTTGGGGGATGCACCTGGGCTATGGGCTGTTCCCCCACTCCCATTTTGTGGAAGCTGGAGAGGGACTTTTTATAAGAGCAAGCAGTTATAGGTCAAGGGGTAATGTCTTTAAACTGAAAAAGGATAGATTTAAGGAACAGGTTGTCCAGTGAAGTTGTGGCTGCCCCATCCCTGGCAGTGTTCAAGGCCACGTGGGATGAGGCTTTGAGCAACCTGGTCTAGTGGAAGGTGTCCCTGCCCATGGCAGGGTGGTTAGAACTAAACGATCTGTAAGGTCCCTTCCAACCCAAACCAATCTATGATTACATGAAAAAGTAGGGAGATTCCCTATGTTGGACTTTAAAATGCATTTCTTCTTAGTAAATAGGCAAACAGTGTGTCTTGACGCACTCTGCAGCTGATGAATATGCTCCTGTGAGGGACATGCATAATGGCTGTCTAGCTCAAATTCAATTAAGAAATGAAAAGTCATTTTTTCAGGGACAGGGTACCAATACACTGTCCACTTTGGTATAGGGAAAAATCACAGAAATGGCAACATTTTGCTTATTTTAAAACTCAGAGTCTTGGCTTGCAGTGAGAGAGGTAAATAGTTTGCAAGTTGAGATTTGAGTACAGGATGCACAGCTGTGACAGACAAAATGTATGTTAGATAAATTAGGAACCATACAGAAAAAGTAACCTTCTCTTTTAGAGTAATGACAAATCTTTGGGATCTGATTGCATATTTTATCTGAAAAAAAACCCAAACCCCTGTATAAGACAGTCTCAGAAAATAAAGCCATTGGGAAGCATTAAATTTTATTGTGGCTTTAAACTTTTAGACTTACTTTGCTTAAAAAACCCCACAAATAAGTGTAAGGCCTGGCCAGTTGAAGTATGCAAAGATTCATATGACAGAACAGTGGTTATGAGATGGGATTGACTTGTCTTTTGGAACAGGTGTCAGCCTGTTTACCGATGTTTACCAGTCACAGGCTACTAATCCAGTGATAAAGTTTAATAGCATGTTTTTGGCGTGTTCTTTGCTGAATGCATTTTATCTCAGATTTTTGAACCTTTGATACTTCTGTTCTCATTCTCAGTTGCAAAGGCTACTTTTAACCTCTTGTTTTTCTTAACTCCTTCATGATGACTTATGTTTCAGTTATTCATGTAGGGCATCTTTAATGCTGATACCAGTGTTCTTGGTCATGAGATAGTTATTCTGTTTTCTGAGTTTCACAAGACTGGACTGCAAGTTCTTTGTGCAATTTCTTTGGTTTGACCCTCTGAGCATTTCTCCCTCTAGGGAAATTGACAATTTGTCTGTTTCCTTTGTAACTTATTGTTGATTTGGGTTGGAGCTCTTTCAATTAATCACAAGCAATAAAGAGTCCTCGACCTGTTTTGTATAGACCAACTGTAGACAAGAACTTGGTAGTTCTACAGCTAGAAATGATAGATAGGTCTCTGGAGAATCATCATTTGCTCCTCTTGGGCATTGGAGAGGAAGAAGACAGCCTGAATACCACTAAACACAAGAAAAATCTAAGCACCTGTCATAATAGGTTTTTTGTGAACCTACTCCTGTCATTACACTGGTATTGCTTATGGACCCGATGCCAGATAATAATGCAGGGTACTTTTGACATTCTGCTGATATTTTTACACCTGTTTCTCCTTAATACAAGGCTATCAAGTATTTTCCTCTGATAACTCTTATCTTAGAAAAATATGAATTTTGGTCATTAGAGTTGAGTTCATTCATTCATTCTGCAGAGTATTCTGTGTGTTTGAAAATGGTGTAAATGCCCAGATGCATTCTGTACAGTTGAGCACATCTGAGGCTAGGATTAGTGCTGTGTTTTAGAGGGGACAGAATACATTTGTGGAGAATATGAAGAAGATCTGAACTGAGGTGATAGAGGCTGTTAGCTGTATTTCTGGACTTCAGTTATATCCTTTTACTTTAGGGTACTCACCACTCCTCTGCAACTTGGGCAGTAATGACAGTGTCTTGGAGAAGACGACATTTTTATTTCTCTTTGTGTGTCTCTTGCAGCGTCCTGTGTCTATGCAGTCGCAAACAGCAAATACTAAGTTGGTAAGTACCCTTCAGCTCCTTTTCACCAATATAAGGAATGCAGTTTCAAATATTACCTTGTACAATACTTTTGGTGTGGTTGCTCCCAAAATATATTTTTCAGCTAAGTAGCCTGGGTGGGGAGGAAGAAAAAAGGAGATGGATGGGTACTGGCATATGTTTCCATGTGGCAAGAGCAAAGGTTGGAAAAACATTTACATCAGTTCCAGCAGCTTAAAAAAAGAGTGGGTGAAGTGTACTGAGAGCCAAGTTCAGCTGGGTTAAATCCCTTAAAGTTTTTAAGGCTATGAGTATTTCTCAATTGCATTTTAAAGAAATTGGATATAAACGTTTAAAGATAAAGTTGTCATTCTGGTCATCAAATGATGAAGACAGTGGCAGCACAGTGTTTGGGATTTGATAGGTCTTTGAAAAGGGAAGTGTAAAAACTGGTGAGAACAGCAGCAAAGAGTAGTGTCACATCAAACGGGAGGAGGAATTTTTGTCTTGCGTACTGCAGGGGATGAAATAAGCCTAAATGATATGGATGGCACAGATGAATCTATTGAGAGAATTCAGGTGGCCCCATAAGAGAAGTAGTTATTTTCTGTGAAACAGTCATTTGCAGGAAACTGCAAAAATTTGAGAGCGAACTGGGTCAAAATAGATAAAGATAAGAATGATTTATTGAAGGTAATGGAAAATGTAGAACTACTGTTAGCATAACTCAAACTGATCCACCTTTTTAAATGTTATATTTTGCACCCTCCTTTCAAGCCATATGGACAAATCGATGTTAGTTTACAATTTTAAGCACCTGGCTGTGTGGGGACACAGTAGGCGTTATTTTGCTGCTAGGCTTTCAGCATGAATGTAATAGTGATGATTCTGACTTTTTTTGAGGTTTCTCAGACGGAATGAAGGAAGGAC